ACACTGCAAAAAGTCCCCTTTCAAAAACAAGAAAAAAAAGGTACAAAAATAGGGTATAATTTTCTTAAAATAAGAAAAATTATCTGCCAACAGAACAAGAAAATTTATCTTGTCAAGATTTTCCAAAACAAGAAAAAATATCTAACCAAGATGAACCTACAAATATCTTAAAATTAGTGTAATTTTACTTAAAACAAGCCAATTTTACTTATACGAGTAAGATATATTATCTCATTTTAAGAAAAATAATCTCAAGTAAAGAAAATGTTACTTGACATTGAATTTCTTGAAATCAGCATATATGCCTAAAACTAGTTTACTTTTATTGTTGCATAGGATTAAAATATATATTTTGTCATTGCTTTACTCAAGGTTCTTATGCTAAGGCAAAAATCCAAAAATTGATTCTGTCTATACTGGAATAAGAGATGTTATTGGCTTGCTGAAATGAAGACATGAGTTCAATTACTTTTAACATCTTTATTACGTTTAAGTTTCACATAAACATAGTAAAACATGACTACTGGTCAGAATTTAAAGTCTGGATGGGCATCTGATTCTGAAACAACCCCGTAAAATGACAGAACAATGAAGATCTGACACATCTGTCGCACTCATAAGATGCCCTAAGAGTCAAACAAACCAAATTGTCCAAAGCAAAAATAAACTTGGGATTAGATGTCACCAATAGGAGCTTACTCCACAATGAACATCTTCCAATCAGCCATAGCCTTTTATGTGTGGAAGTCTTGTCTCAGTTACGGACGGTGTTCTCAAGATATCTGTCAGCAGCACAGAGAGGAGTGGCCACACACATGCATGCTGAAAGGTGTAGTAGCTATGATGTCCTCCTTTCAGAAGATCAGGGCAGGCATGGTTCCAATGGCCAGTAGAAAGTTGGTTTCACGATCACCACAGAGCTGAAAAGTGGTTTTGTTTGATTGAAGTTGTTGGGTCATCTGCTAATTGGAGCACAGACAGAAAAACAATCACAAAACAAACCACGTTTTAGGGACTAATCAGTGTAATGATGAATAAGTATCATAAATTTCTTACCTCAAGAATGTGAAGGACAGCATCACTTGCAATTCCGAAAGTTTCTTGTAGATGGTGCAATACATGATTGGAGACGTGTCCGGCATAGGCTTCACCATGGCAACAGTTTGTTTTACTTGAAAAATAAAACAAGTCTTATTTTAGTTAATGTGCTCAATTACAATATTACATGAATTCAAGACAGCAAGACAGTCATTTTAATTAAATCAAAATAGGACTACTTAAATTCACCAATCAAAAATAGTGTTTAAAATATCCTGGTAACAGTGTGGAATATCTAACCTAGGCTTTTAGACTCATT